ATCTATATCATTCGAATCTAACTTATATATGGAAATACTGTATAAAGTAAAAACACTATATCTATAATTTAGTTTTGGGTTGGAAAATGTATGAGCTCATACATCCAACACATCGTCCATACCAGTGCATACTCTGGCGTGATCATCCAACAGACCCAGTCACATCATATCGTTTAAATACGGTTACATATGGCTTGGTAACGTCGCCGTATCAAGCAATTCGCACGCTGAGACAACTATCCGAGGATGAGGCGGCCGACTATCCCGTCGCGTCCAACGTATTGAAACGCGATTTTTATGTTGACGAGGTGACGACTGGCATGGATTCAACTGATGAATTATTATGTCTTCAACGTGAGCTGAATGGCTTGCTGGAACGTGGTGGATTCAAGCTACGGGAATGGGCAAGTAACTATCYAGCCATTCTAGAAAATGTACCGTTGGAACATCGCGTAACACAGCTCCCACTACATGATCAATCAGACACAGCCATCAAATTATTGGGTGTTTCGTGGAATGCCACTAAAGACTCATTTTCTAAACAAGCTCGTACTATGGAAATAAGTGGATCTGTCACTAAACGACAAATATTATCAGATATCGCACACATTTATGACCCTTGCGGTTGGCTCTCACCCTTGATCATCGTAGCTAAGCTGCTGTTGCAACAACTGTGGAAGGAACAGGTTAGCTGGGACGACCAGGTCTCAGAGGCACTCGCTGCGGTTTGGCACTCACATCGTTCATCGTATGAGCATTTAGCATCTTTCAATATATTGCGCTACATCAACACGTCGAGGAATCCAGTCATCGCATATGAAATACATGGCTTTTGTGACAGCTCTAAAAAAGCTCATGGTGCCGTTGTCTATGTKKTCGCCAGTTCTGATATTCTAACGTCAACCCTACTGGTATCTAAAACTAGAGTAGCACCACTGAAGAAGGTTTCCATTCCACGTTTGGAATTGTGCAGTGCTGTGCTTTTGGCTCAACTCATACAAGCTCT